TCCAATGGCATGTGGACTTTAGAGTGACCTTCTTGGCTGAAAGGAGGATGGATACTACTGTTTCAGAAAGGTTTAAATCCTAGAGTTGCCCCTTTCAATCTCCATCCAGTCAAGAAGATCCGGGATTGGGTGAGTCTGCCCATCCTGCAATACCAAGACTCAGGTTTGAGGAAGTCATATTAAATGTCACATTGATATGTAACACAAGAGGAAGAACCATGGACTCCTTAGCCAAAATGGAGCAATCATTATAACTCACACCTTTTTCATCATTTTAAACAAAGACCAAAGAGTGAGAGCAGTTGGGGGAAAACATATACCCACTAGAAACCTATGTCTGGAAAAGGGCATCCTGGCCAATAGCTTGAGGACAAAAAGAATAGAGAAAAAAACAGTTGCACTTGGCAATTAATCTGGGTTTCCGTGAGATCCACCTCTAGCATCCCCTACAGTGCAGAAATTTACTTTAGATATTCAGGATTCAACACCCATTATGTGTGGATCAAGAACTTCTGGTTCTCCAGATTGGCTGGGATGTTCTAAGACCCAGGAAGAGAGAATGCTGACAAGTCCAGAAACTGCCTCTTGGCTAAAGCAAAGATTTTTGCTGTCACTTGAAGAAGTTGTAGGCTCCTTGTTCCATCTTACTTCAAGAGGTATGAGACAGCTTTCTTGTGGACCATCACTAACTTGACCCTCTGACACCGTATGACTGGTAGGAATGCTTTCAGTGCTTCCTTGTCCCCTTTCAGGTCCAACAGGTTGGAATAGTGAGGAACCACAGTGTTCCATACCCCCTGAACCCTCAAGTCCCAACAATGGGCACTTCAAACCTTGAGACTGGCATCTGATGTAACTATGATCCAGTATCCAGGATTGATGGTCCTGCCCAGAGAGAGGTTGGAACCCCAGGTCCACCATGAGAGTTTCTGCTGAATGAAAAGAAGTATCTGGATGATCTAATGAAGGGAACAGCAATTGCACCGACTTAGGAGACAATGCTGAAATATCCTGGTATATTGTTGACCCTATGGCACCACCAAAATGAATGCCATAAGGGTGCCCAAGAAAATCATGCCCCTGCTGAACTAACATGGAGGTTGAAGACATCACCTCACTGGCCTGTGAGTGAATCCATCTGGTCTTGTCTTGAGGGAGATAAACTGTGTAGTGTATAGTGTTGAAGGCCATCTCTGGGATGGGATAAGCTGGCTCTTCCCTACATTCACCATCCACCCAAACTCCACCAATGTCTGCAGAGCTGGACTGAGCAAGAATAAGGAAGTCATCTAGGTAATGAAATATCCGGACACCATAAACATGAAGAAATGCAATTACCATTATTAAAACTTTTGAGAAGGGTCTCGGGGTTGACCAAAAGGTAAGCATCTGAACAGGAAGTGGTTGCTTTCCGAAGTTAAATCTTAGGAACTGCTGGTGCTTTTCGGCAATGGAATTATACAAGTAGGCATTCTCAAAGTCCACAGAGACCATCCAGCAGTGGCGTCCCAAGGGGGTGCGGGCCGCACCGGGTGACACAATCACAGGGTGTGCAGGAGTAGGATGCCGGCACAGTGACAGCTGCCCCCATCCTGGTGTAGCGGTAAAATGAGTAACTCCTGAAGCAACTGCGCATGTGCCGGTTTTCAGGCCGAAGAAGCCGATCGCCAGTTCTGTGCTAAAATCAGAGATCAGATTCTTCGACCTGAAACCGGCGCAGTTGCTTCAGGGGATACATATCTTCAAGGGATACTCGTTTTACTGCTACACCGGCACCGCTCCTTCCTCTCTGGAGGGGATGACACCACATGTTACTGCACCGGGTGACACCAACCCTAGGGACTCCTCTGCCATCCAGTCTACTCTTTGTATCACAATGGTAATGGTTTCTAAAGGCTCTAAGGAGAAAGATTCTTGCTTTAGATAGGAGTTTAAAGTGTTACTAACCCAGGACCCCGCATTCACTATATCCGCTCTCCCCGGACCCCGCATTCACTATATCCGGTCTCCCCGGACCCCGCATTCACTATATCCGCTCTCCCCGGACCCCGCATTCACTATATCCGCTCTCCCCGGACCCCGCATTCACTATATCCGGTCTCCCCGGACCCCGCATTCACTATATCCGGTCTCCCCGGACCCCGCATTCACTATATCCGGTCTCCCAGGACCCCGCATTCACTATATCCGCTCTCCTCGGACCCCGCATTCACTATATCCGCTCTCCCCGGACCCCGCATTCACTATATCCGCTCTCCCCGGACCCCGCATTCACTATATCCGCTCTCCCCGGACCCCGCATTCACCATATCCGCTCTCCCCGGACCCCGCATTCACTATATCTTCTCTCCCCGGACCCCACATTCACTATATCCGCTCTCCCCGGACCCCGCATTCACTATATCCGCTCTCCCCGGACCCCACATTCACTATATCCGCTCTCCCCGGACCCCGCATTCACTATATCTAGTCTCCCACAGTACACAGAACATGGAAATGCAATTATTTTAGTAAATGTAAACTGCTAAATACCTTTTCTCATCAGCAAATAGAGCAGTCTTGTGACATCTATCAGTGTCCAGCAGAGCACTGGTTACAGCTTGTAGGAGGAGTTTGCATTCTCCTGTAAGAGGATGCAGAACCCCTGACCCTCTGTCTGGACAGTGCTAATTGGCCATGTGCTGATCACATGCAGTCTCCAAAGAAAAAAATAAAAACTCTCTAGCAATGCAAACTGAACATGTATAGCTTGCCCCCAAGCCTCTGTTCTATCAGGAGTTATGTAGGAGACATTGGAAGAAAGGGAGGATCAGAGAAGACAGGATCAAACATCCTTTTTACACAAGGTGGAGGATTAACCCCTTAGGTTCCACAGTGAGTATAACAAGCATGCTTTACTGTATATACAGACTGATTGTACTGTTGGGGGTTTAGTAACACTTTAAGGTCCTGAGCTCCAGAATTGAACATCGCTTGTCTGAAGATTTCTTTGCAAGGAAAAGAGAAGAATACAACCCTTTTCCTGTCTTGGACTTTGGAACCAAAAATGTGGCCTGAAATTCACTTTTGCCATATACAGTCATGGCCAAAAATATTGTCGTCCCCCCCCCCTGCATTTCTGTCAGACGATGTACCACTTTTGCCCAGAAAATTGTTTTCATGACAAATGTTTTGGCATTCTCATGTTTATTTCTTTTGTTTGTATTGGTATGACACAAAAAAGCGGAGAAACAAAAAGCTAAAGCTGACACATTCCATGCAAAACCCCAAAATGGAATGGACCAAATTGTTGGCACCCTCCATGTTATATTTGTTAGCACATTCCTTGGAAAAATAACTGAAATCAATGCCTTCCTGTCACCATCAATGAGTTTCTTCCACCTCTCTACTGGAATTTTGGATCGCTCTTCTTTCGCCAACTGATCCAGGTCTCTCAGATTGGAAGGGTTCCTTTTCCCAACTGCTGTTTTTGTGCTCTATGGGATTGAGTTCTGGACTCATTGCTGACCCATTGCAGCCACAGGTCCTAATTTTCCAGGTATGCAGATGTGGGTGAGTGGACCCGAATGCACATTGTCTATGTTTGTATTTCAATGGTTTTTATTAATTTTAAACAGTATAAAACAGAGGCAACAAAACACGCCCACGCAGGGGCTATCAATTGCACCGATAGAAAATGTATAATAGAGCAGACAACGCTCTAATTCCAATAAGGCAAAACGTATGCCCACGTAGGGGCTATCAATGGCACATAGGTTACAATAACATCAGTGAAACTCAGATCAACGCAACTAAAGACAGCTGTCCACTGTCACATCAAAACAAACATAAAAGGAAAGAAGAAAAGCAGAGAAGAAAGAAAGAGAAAAAACAAAAACAAAAACACACACCAGAGAGCAAGGGTCCATGAGCGCCAATACAAAACTCCATCACCTCCCTACACTGGCCGGGGGGAGCGTGGGAAAGGCGTATTGCAACCACGGTTCCCATATTTTCAAAAATTTATGTTGAGAGTCATTGCATATACTCGACATCTGTTCATTGAGCATCATAGTAGTCATACGATCCCGCACCCCCTGAAAAAGTACAAACGGACTCTTCCAGGCCTGGGCAATTGTCCTAGTGGCCGATAAAAACAAATAGGAAGCCAATCGCTGCTGACGAGCCAAGAGGCCCGGTATGGGGCAATGAAGCAAAGCATACCGAGCATCCCGGCGTATGGAGAGATGAAACAAAGTGAAAAGGAGGCCAAACACACGAGACCAAAAACGAACCAACCTCGGGCATGACCACCAGATATGCAGTACATCGCCACGATGGCCACAACCCCGAAAACATCGATCACTACAGGCAGGGATAGCCTGGGCCAAATGAGCCGGCACCCAATACCAACGAAACAATACCTTATAGGCTGCCTCCAGTGTGGTCGTATTAAACGAACATTTTAGCTATGAGTGACCAGGCTTTATTCCAGTCCTCCGGATCCACAGCCACTCCCAGGTCGCGTTCCCACTGAACTACATATGAAAGAGAAGTGTGCGACGAGCATCTGTTCAAAGCTGTGTAAAGAAGGGAGATAAGGCCCGGGGCACCCGGACGCTGCTGGCAAAGCCGTTCAAAGGCAGATGTCTGATATGGGAAAGCAGAAGTGGCCCTCAGCGAGAGTAGCCAGTGCCGCAATTGAAGGTACCGAAAAAATTCCGCTGGGGGAACATCCCGAGACTCCCGGAGGACATTCCAGGTGGGAAAGGACCGAAAAATCAAAAAGTGTCGCACCTGTGAGAAACCATGAGCCACCCACCAAGAAAATGCCCTCGGGTGATCTAGACCCGGTGGGAAAAGAGGGTTATTAACGATTGGAAGGGCAAAAAGGGTGACATCAGGCCACTGGAGTAACGTACCGAGTCCCAGACTCGTAGGCCATGGAGCAACATCGGACTCAGCGCCGTAGGGCGCAGGGCAGGGGGAAGCCATAGAAGTGTCGATAGTGCGATAGGGGCACAATTAGGTAGTTCCAGCAGGACCCAGAGAGGAACATCGGAGGAAGCGTGCAACATAGACAGCGGGGCAATTTGGCTCGCCTGATAATACTTAGTTACATTGGGTACCCCAAGACCACCTTGGAGTCTATGAACAAAGAGCGTATTTCTAGAAACTCTGGGATGCTTATTGGCCCAGATAAAACGCATAAACTTCGCCTGAAGCAACCAAAGAAAATGAGGGGGAACCCGCACCGGGAGGGTGCGAAAATAATATAACAATTTCGGCAAGATGGTCATTTTCACTGAATGAACCCGTCCTATCCAAGACAGGTGCGGAAATTGCCAGGAATGCATAAGAGAAGATAAGGAGCTAAGCAAAGGATAATAATTTGCAGCAAAAAGGGAGTCATAGGTGGGGGTCAAGCGAATGCCCAAGTATTCAAGAGAAGAGGAAGCCCACCGGTAAGGGAAGTGGGATTGTAGGCGCGAAACCAAATCTGAAGCCAAAGTAATATTGAGAGCAACGGTTTTATCCAAATCAATACGTAGACCCGAGATCAAGGAAAAGCGCTCAAGAACCCGTTGCAAATTAGGAAGCGTCGTCAGAGGATTAGTAAGGGTCAAGAGGGCATCGTCCGCAAAGAGGCTCAGCTTAAACTCCTGTCCCGCGTAAAGCCAGTGGCTCAAGCGCCAGGACAAAGAGCGCCGGGGACAGCGGGCTGCCCTGCCTCGTCCCTCTCCCAACAGGAAAGGGATCCGAGAAATACCCAGCGTATTTAACGGAAGCCAAAGGAAAGGAATACAAGGCTTGAATCCAAGAGAGAATAGAATCCCCGAAACCCCAGCGAGACAGCACAAACCGCAGATATTCCCAGGATAGAGAATCAAAAGCTTTATATATGTCCAAGGACAGTAAGAATCCTGGGATTTTCCGTTGTTGCAGAAAATGTATAAGATGGACCACCTTACGGACATTATCACCCGCCTGCCTCCCGGGGACGAACCCTACTTGGTCCCTGTGGACCAGGCTACACAAATATTTATTGATGCGAAAACTAAGGATCTTGCCCAATATTTTCAAGTCTTCATTAAAGAAGAGAGATGGGCCGGAAGGCTTGCAGTTCCTGGACATCATCGGTCGTCTTAGGAATCATAGAGATATGTGCCCTAAGTGCGTCCGGAGAGGGCAAGGAGCCCTGTCGTAACTCATTGAAGTAGGCAGCTAAAAAGGGCGCCAATAGGGCTGAGAATTTTTTATAATAGAGACCGGAGAAGCCGTCTGGACCTGGGGCCGCGGTGGACCGTAAAGATTTGATTGCTTGTAGCACTTCCGGTACGGTGACACCTGCGTTGAGGGCCACCTGTGCTGCCTCGGTTAATCCAGGAAGATGGAGGTCCTGAAAGAATGCCTCTGCCTGGGCCACAGGGAAGGGATCTGGGGCAGCATAGAGGCGCGAAAGGAAGTCCGAGAATCGGGAAACAATCTGCTGGGGATTAGAAGTACAGCCACCCGTGGAAAGTCGAAGCCGAATCGGTTTATGGGGTTTCCCCACAGAATTGAGTTTCCTGGCTAGCATGGGACCGGGCTTATTAGCACAGGAATAGAATTTATGTTTGGTCCAACGCAAGGCCCGTTCCGCCTCCGAAGAGGCAAGGAGGTCCAATTCTGTCGCCAGAGCGTCCCGAGCGCGTTTATGGGCCACGGATGGAGATGACTTCCAACGCGCATCCGCAGAGGCCAGGAGAAAATGAAGCTCCGAGAGTCGACGTTCCCGCTTCCGGACTGCAGCCAGCTGTATAACATGACCCCGCACCGTGGCCTTATGCGCTTCCCATAGGGGCACTGCTGAAGAGACCGATCCCGAGTTTTCCGTAAAGTATGTCCGTAAGAAGAATTCTATTTCTTGGCAGGTAGCCTGAGTGGTCAGTAAAGAGTCATTAATGCGCCAATGAAAAGGGCGTCGTTCTGACCCGGAAAGGGCAAGGAGGAGTACCAAAGGATCATGGTCTGACCAGGGCGAGGAGGGAATAGTTATCCGCCGGACCGAGGGGAGTTGCTGGACCTGCATGAATATATGATCAATTCTACAAAAACTGTCATGAGGGTTATAATAGAACGTAAAGTCGCGTTCAGTTGGATGAAGTTCCCTCCAGACGTCCGCTAGCCCCGCTGTCCGCAAAAGAGAGCGCATACGTTCCTCCAGC